CAGAGGAAGGATTAAAAATTGGCAGACATAAGTTAGGAAATGTTACTTAAATTGTGCCCACCCCCCTGCACACACACACACACACACACACACACACACACACACACACATACATAATGAAATATTCTCTTTCAAAATGATTTAGCCAAATGTTTCAGTGATTATATAATTTGAGGGAGGAAAGAAGGAAGGACGGAAGGAAGGAAGGAAGGAAGGAAGGAAGGAAGGGAGGAAGGAAGGAAGGAAGGAAGGAAGGAAGGAAGGAAAGAAGGAAGGAAGGAAGGAAATGAAAAAAGGAAGGAAGGTGGAGGGAGGAAGAAATAAAAGTGAAAAAGAATACCATTGAAAATAATGGCATCTTCCTTATTCCAGAATTCAAAGTAACATCTTTCCTTGAGCCAGAGTTTAAACATTGTCTTTAAAAAATCATGACTAAAAACATTCAGATCATTAGTGCTTTATCAAAACCCAGTACCACTAAGAAAAAGAAAAAGAAAAAAATTATATCTTCCACTTTCTTCTTCCCTCTACTCTTTATTTCTTCTCCCTCCTCCTCCTACACAGCTTCTGTGCTCATGTTTCAATTTCATAATCTGTCCATTGTGAATTAGAACATTTCCTTGGCAGTACTCTTTACTGACGGGTACAAGATACATTGACCTCTGTGACACTGTCAGACCCTGCTCAGGTTCCTACAATTTCTAGTAAATACCATCACTCCCTAGGCAAGGGAGAGTACAAAACCAGAAACAACAGCAGGTGCTGCATCTGTGGGAAGGGGCCAGGGTTAGGAAGTGTGGATGACTCAGTGACAGTTCTATTGATCTGGTTTTTGGTTTTAGATTTTTTTATTGGTGAGGATATGATGCAAAATAAATTCTCAGCAGCAGGCCTCATGACAATGAGATTTACACATTGCTGTTATTTTCAGCTTGCTTTGTGAAATGTGATGCACAATCTCTAATAATGTTAGAGAATTCATTTAGAGTCTGTTAGCTGAGACCCCGATAGCTGCCACCTGATTAAATGTGGAAGCCAGGCCTTGCAATTATTTTTCAATTTAGTTTGTAGTTAGTTTCTCTAATGATTTGAGAGAAGGTCATTTTTTTTCTTTCAAATATACTCATATCCATTCCAACAAAGCGTGGTTTGTTCTCTAAAGTTGCTACTCAGCCCATTTTAGCCAGGTAAATGCCTTTGATTATGTCAAGTAAAATCCTGAAAAAAAAAAAAGCTATATTTTTTTACCTTGGGATGATCAGAGTATTACACTGTATTAACCCTCACTTTAAAAAATACATTTATAAGGTTCCAGTGGCTTGCTTTAATCTGAAATGTTCCTATCAGTTGTGTAATTAAAAAGAATTTATTTTAGTAGACAAATCTTTCTTAGCTGCTCAGGGATTTCTTGGTTTGCTTGCTTGCCTTAAAGGAAATACCTATTCCCCCATTCCACCGCCCCACCCTCCGAAAAAAAGCCCCACAGTAATTTCCCCCTTTTAAAACACCTTCTCACCTTGACCAAGAAGGCAATTTTTAGCCAATTAGCAAAACCAATGCAATCATTTACCAATAAGAAAAACTCCCTCTTAAGAAATTAAATTTCTTAAGATATAAGCTAGTTCATAATTTTGATAAATTGCCTAACCTCTTTCACTGATTTCTGTCTTGTTCTTGTCTCTTCTGTAGTTCTAACCATTGCCTGACCAAGTGGGTAGGTGATCAACTAGAAAATCCCTAATGTACATTTTATCAGGATTACTGCTTTGCTCCCCAGAGCATTAGCAAACATTTCCTGTTATTTTAGAGATACAGAGGCATCTGGAAAGAGAAAAGTGTGTATATTCCTGGAAATACCCCATTGTATGTATGTCTCCCAAAAGGATGTTTAAAAGTTGTTTTAAAATTTCATTATGATGAATTTCTATTCACACTGTCTCCTGTTTATTAAACAACTGTTAACTACGTGGCACTGTGTCACACTACCAGGGATAAAAAGATTCCGATTTACTCACTCTTAAAAACTCTCCAGTGCAGTTAAGAAAACATATAAACAGAAAGCCTGGAGGGAGAACTCATACTAGTAAGTCCAGAGCCTTTACCTGGCTAGGGGCTATTCTAGCTGCTCTACATACATTATCTATCCAACAATCCTGTGAATTATCACTTAATGGCTCCATTGTAATGATGAAGAACCTGTGGTTAAAGCATAATTCAGTAACTTCAAACCAGCATTCGTAAGGGATTAGATTTAGAGTGATGGTCAAAGCCATGAATTACTGATGCAGACACCAGGATTTTCCTATGGTCAAAGTGCCTTGGAGTTTTGAGAAGAAAGAAATAATGTCTGGCCTGAAGAATCAAGAATGGTTTTAACAGCACCTTGCCAGGTAAATTATAGTGGATAGGTAATTATAGTGAAGGCAAATGAGCAGAACTGATGAAACAGGAAAGAACTTTATATTTTTGGGACACGTGCTGCTTTATTTGTGTGTGTGTTAATTGATTTATTTTTTTGTTTTTTGTTTGTTTTGGAACAAGTGCTTCTTTTTTCTTTTGATTTTTAAAAAATTAAATATTTACTGTTGAAAGTATTACTTATTCATTATTTGGCCCCCCCCCCCCCTCATTGACCCCTTCTAGTCAGCCCCTGCCCCCATCCCAGGCCTTCCCCATCCTATTGTCTGTGTCCATGGGTCATGCATATATGTATACAAGTTCTTTGGTTGATCTTTTTCCACCCACCCACCCATCTACTTCTTCTCTCTGAGATTCCACAGTCTGTCAAGTGCTTCTTAACTGGAGTCATAGACACATTATAGATGATAGATAGATAGATAGATAGATAGATAGATAGATAGATAGATAGATAGATGATAGATAAATAGATGAAAAAATCTTACAAATGCATTTGTGTATTTATTTACTTATATTTAATTTATGTATTCATTATTTCATTTATCCAATTATTTATTCATTTATTTATTCAATAACATTTTGAGGATCTATTGTATGTTGGGGTTGAATAAACTCCTTGGATGTAACATTTAAAGTGCTCTTTGATCTTTTTTATCTTTTTTAATTGAAAAGATTATTTAAAAGTTACCCAAAGGAAGTTTTCAAAGCACAAAGTGTCATTGTCTTCTATAACTTTTGTTTTTAATGAAGTCTGTACATATTTGACAACAATATTGAATTCACATTTCAAAAATGCTCATGTGTAAAGATATTTTAATTTAATATTTTAGTCTGACATTTGATTACTATTTCATATTGTAATTTATTTTTAGTACATGTTAAATCTTTACTTTCCAGTTTTAAATTTTTATTTGAATAGAATAAAATAAGTGTAAATGAAATGTGAATAAAATGAAATTAATATATGTAAGACTGTCTTTTCTCTCTTTCAAACTGAAATATCTATCTGGGCATGTGGAGAGGAGTTACCCTATAAATGATCTAGTAATCTGGAGATGACATGAGTCCAAATTTGAAGAATCAAAATAGTATATTTTGAGAGACAGAATAATCTAGGATTTAGAAATAACGTGTGTATTTCTCTTGGGTGTTTTGCCTGGCTTGTAGGCTGAGAAAGAATGATTCAGTTATCATATATTTTTTAAAAAAATAATAATTTGCATTCTCAATAGCTGGCTCTGGGTTTTGCATTCCCAAGAGCAATGTGGAAGGGTTTTTCCCTGACCGGCAATCCTGTCTGCTAAGAAGGAAAGAGGAATGAAAAGGCTCTGAGCCTAGGCCAGAATGTTAGAGAAGACAAGTCTCAAGGGTAACAGCAATGTAAAGACTTCAGCTGGTGAAAATGATTCCAGGAGTCTTCTGTTTAATGGTTTCCTGGGACCACACATTTTCACACAATGTCCAACAGTCAAAAAGGTGTTTTCACATCTTGGAAGGACTAACCAACCACTACATCTCTCCTTGAATTCCCACAAGGCTACTTGTCCAGGTTAGAACCATCATCTTCCTGACTCCTCCACCACTACCCCTAACTTCAGTCTCAGGCGGTCTTTTGCAGGGGGTACTGCACCTGACCCAAAGGCTTTTTAAAAGCTGCATTGCTCCTTTGGAGCTGCTTCAGGGTTTAGATTCAGTCTGGAAGTGAAACAGTCCCTTTAGTACATCGATAAACAAAGAACAAAAATACTGCAGCCCTGCAGGTATTCACATGACAACCCGCATAGGTTCATCCTGGGTTCTCTAAGAACACCATCTGAGGAGGAGGTACAGGCCTTGGTTAACACCGCAAAGCCACCTCCTCCCTTGTGAGGATCTGGGTAATTTCTGATAAGTGTCCAATTGTCATCTTGAAATAGGGGACATTGGGAGCCATTCAGACTCCTATAGTAAATGATTAATGTGTATTTTCCTGATTCTGACAGATTCCAAAAGAAGAGCAGATTGCTACCCATAAAACTAAGCAGCCTCAACATGGAATTACTGGAAGAATCCAAAAGTCTTTGCAGAAATGCTGTGCTTAAACCAATGTTTCTCAAAAACCAGCTATTTTAAAGGGACCAGGGTCAATATAAATAAAATAAATGGAGGCTGAGATAGAATATGTCAGAAAATTTGCCGAAAGGTTATTTTAAGGTGGCATGTTAAAAACAATAATGGGCCATTAGGCTGTCTTGTTAAAGGCATTAGAGTCACAGGCACAATGTATGACTCACATGGACAAGATTTTCCACTTTATATATAAAAACTTCAATACTGGATTTCTGGTAAAAGTAAAATGTTGCCATTTCTGTGTATAGTATTATTAATATTTCAGTTAAATTGTAGGCAACAGAATAAGCAAAGTATTAATGTCTTTAGAAATATGCTATCAAAATATTACACATTGTAATTAATATCACAATACAGATGTGAATGTACTTTTTCTTTATAATTAAGTATGCAATTAAAAAATATGTTGGCTGTTTATTTTATATTCAGGCATACTGCATTTTACAAGCAAGCATCTCTTTGTCAAAGGCATTGACTTGTTTTTAGTTATTTTTAATTTTTTGGTCATCCTTGTGCAAGGCCCATGCTAATCCCTGCATCATTGCAGTTTTAGTATATGTGCCACTGAAGTGCACATTTGATTTATTTTTACAACAAAATTTGAGCACCTCCAATGACTAAGATAAAGTACTAGATAGTTTAGGATTTAAATTATTTCTAATGTAGAGCTAGAGGCAGGTGCTTGCTCTGTGAGGTGTAAGCCCCATGAGCATGGCTCTGTCTCTCTGTGCACTCCTGAATCTCCAGGACCCACAACAAAATCAGTGACATAGAATACAAGAAGTATTTGTGTAAAAAGGGCTTCTACATTCTTATTGTTTTAAAAATTACCCGAATAATAAATTTATATACTCCTTTCTGGCTGTTATCCATCATTTCGGAGCCTATACTTTATTAATTTATTTTCTTAATTTACTTTTGCTATACTTAATATTGAAAATATTTTACTCCTATAAACTCTTTATGTGCTCTTGATAAAAAAAATACTTTGAAAGGACATGGAACTCTGTTGTGAATTTCTTTGGTTAGAAAACTTGCCCTTACGTTTTATAAATTATTGATTTTTTATTGTTTTTATTTGTTTGCTTATTTTTACTTTTAGACTATTAGTGGTATAGTCTTAACAATAAAAAATAAATACTAGATCTCTAGAGAAATACAGATAACTCCCATTTAGTACAACATTTCATGCAACCTAGTCAAACCACCTGATTCTTCCTGGTGGAAACTCAGGATCTTTAAATAGTGTTAGCTATTTTAAATAAATATCTTGTATCAAATATAGCATACGGGATTTTTCTCTCTTTTTTTTCCTTACAGTGGTCATACTGCTACACATTGCCTACTTAATTACCTTCTGAATGTCTTGCCTTGTCATTTTTACTAACCTTTAAAATGAATGTCAGAAAATCTTTATTTGCCACCCAGCAGTGCTCAGGAGTTTAGAACAGAGCGCATCCCGAGCCCTGTGCTGGGATTGAGGGTCCCAGCGGGCACCTGGACCGCGCATACCAGGAGCTCCACAGCGCAAACCCCTGCCTGTAATGGGGAGTGGGAGGGGTGTTAGGGTAAACGGGAAGAAACAGTATGGCAGAGACTCCAGATGCTAGAGCTTACAGATGCTTTGCTTCCAGGAAACTCATATAAATAATGGCAGCGCACAGAAAGGACGTGGAAGAGGGACGATACCAGATCACAAGATGAGCATCTGCGCTCAGGAAATCGCGGGTGAGGGCACTGAAAACAACGCCTGGGAGTTTTGCGCATTAGTCCCATGGCCTGGATCACTGCACAGGACGTTTTTCACGTCCAGTTTCCCTGCTTTGGCTGACCTAGGAAATCCCACCGTTTTGCGTTGCGATGCATGCTTTTAGGAGAGTCTGTGTTTCTGCTGCGCTGCTCTGCACTTCCCTGTCTCTGCAGAACGCTGGGCTTCGGGGGAATTTAGAATTTCAGTGCAGCAGCAAACCCAGGGACATAATATGCTGTTACATAGCTGGGGCACGCCGGATGCCGGTCCATTCCGGGGTTGGTGGCTGCAAGGGAGAGGGACTGCCACCCAGTGTTTTCCTACTGCCTGTTTCAGCCGGCTTCGGAATTGACAAGGAAAAGCAGGGAGAGGGGCTGAGAAACAGGAAAAAACGCTCCCCTTTCCTTGAGGGTGAAAAATATTTCAAAAGTATCTGAGAAAACTTAGGCAGTGATTCCTATTCCAAACATACGTAAGTCACAGGCAACCTCATCCTTTGGTTTCTAGGCACATTTTTTTGAGTTTAGCACAACAGGGAGAAGAAAATTGGAGGTTAGTGAATCCAGCGGGGCAATAGGTGAAGAGGACTACGTTTCAGGCAAGACAACAAGGAAAGTACAAAGAATGCAGTTTCTCTTTCATGTGCTTTGATCGTCTTTCCTGTTTTACCCTTAATGAATACTTTCTCAAAACTAAAAATAAAACACCGCATTCTATTAAACTGAGCTCTTCTTCCTAGGGAATTCTAAATGGATGAGTGTGTGTTTCTCATCTGTGAATATGATTATATTTTCATATATACAGTGCACACATATATACATGCATATGTATAATTGTCTTTTGCTGGGAATCAGGCAATAGACAAGAGAGAGGGTGGGGAGAGGAAGTCCATACTAGAGACCCAACAGCAAATGCTAGTTTCTTTAAATTTATCATACGGTTCTACATACTGGCACTGACCAAAACCAGTCTGGGATATTGGAAGGTTTGAGACGGTGGCCTAAAATCGCACATGTGCCATGAGAAGCCGAGGATTGTAAGGCAGGTAGATGTCCAAAGTCCTCCGCCTGCTGCTGCAGAGAAAACCTCTTCAACAGCCCCAAATAGTAGCTCCTGGAAGGTAACAGGCTGAGAAAGACACTAAGTAAGAGAAAAACATCTCATGTCCACAATGAAGGTGCACCACGTATGCATGCTCAGGGTGAAAGTTATTGTTTGTTTTATTCTAGATAATGTGCCTACAAGGTCTCCTATTATTCAGACTCCTTTTATTATTAAAAGAAGAGATGTTATCCCAGGTGCTTTGATGCTTTGATTCGATTGCACTTGCTTGCTTATGCCGTGCACAGAGGCCACATACGCATGTCCTCATAGTGCATGAACACACATTACTCATAGCTATTACAGATCTTAGTGCCGGTTCCAGCTTGCCCACTTGAGGATGGGATGTTTGCTATGGTGGAACGGCACTAATATATACTGTACTTGCAAATAAGCTCTACCTATATGATTTAAATAGTCATATTAATAAATACATGATACTCGTATGTACAAGTCACCTTTTCTCCCCCACTGATGGCTTTGATTACTTTGACAGACGAAGATAAGTTAATGATACAAATTAGGAGCAAGAAGAATTAAAAAGGGTGTTAACTCTGATGCCAGGCTGTCAATTTCCTATAGTGCTACCAACTTACAGATAGATGATTAAAATTGTTTCGTTTAGGAATTTTGAATATTTTAAAAATTGAATGGGTTTCTGGGGGAGGAAAAAAAAGAAAGAAAATCTGTGCTTAGCTAATTAGACATCCTATTTGACTTAACAATAGAACGGGATTATTCTTTGAGCATTGAGATCATTCTACATTACTATAAGAGCCTACGTCTTGCTATTTCAAAATGTATTTGTAAAATTTCACCCAGTGTGTTTGTCTAATTCTCTATGTTTGATATCATTTATACATTTTCTTTAGTTACAGGTTTATAGGAAGAAGTGTTCATGGACTCCTTAATTTGTTTCTAAAGCACCTGTTTCCAAAATATGATGCTCAATACTGTGGATAAGTCCCAGAAACATACATACAGTTCCATTCTCTGAGGGGCTAAAATCTGAGGGGGCAGGAAAAAATGGCACATGCAAAAAAAACCCATATATTTCTAGAATCTTGTGAATGGCATAATAGTATAAACAAAGTACTCTGATTGCATAGGAGGAATATGGAGTTTGGATTTTTCAGTCAGTGTCATTTAAGCCTCGATTATATAACTATACAACTATATACACCTTGATAAGTTTACTTAATCTATTTGGGTTTAATTGTATTAGCTGAAGTATGAAGAAAACAATACCTATCTCTCAGATATGCGTAAATATTAACTGAGCTAATACATGTGAGACATTAAGAACAGACTAGTACATAGTCAGTGTTATCATGAGACCCACTGGTTTCTCCTCAAATGAAATGTATCTCTGTGGTTTTATCAGTTTTCTTCTTTGTCTTATCCACTAGACTATTTGAGGTCAGAGACTATATCATATTTATTGTTATATTCCCATGGATTCAAAAGGATGTGAATATATGTTTATTAAATGATTAAAAAAGGAATAGATAACATTTGATAACCAGATGGTTAAATGATATTGAGTTATTTACAGATTCCAGCAAGATGTGCATTCTCATCTTGATGGGATGGTCATTTCTGTCTGAGGATATAATATTAGAAACATGTGATGTAAGCACAAGAAGGTGGAACCCCTGTCTTGACTGTCAAATAAGATGAATCAATTCTGGGGTCAATGTGGTGACATACAACTCTCATTTTCTAATATATTAAGTGTTCCGAAAATAAAAACAATGAGAAAAAAAGAAGTCAATCATAGCACTCTCCACATCCTAAGTAAATTAGCACTCTTCAGTGTGTATAGTTGAATGAGGATAGAGTAATGGAAAGAGCTCCATGTAGGATTCAGTGTCTTCACACTCGGTCCCATCTGATAGTTCCATGACCCTGGACAAGTGACTTTACCTTTCTGAACTTCATTTCTGTCATTTGTAGGTAGGAAATAGAGGACTTGATGATCTTCAATTACTTCTAAGTGTAAACTTCTGAGTCATTTCATCTAGTTTTTTTTTTTTTTTTCTATCTGAAATTTTTATGAATGTGTTTGCTTGTTATTTTACCACAGTTAAAAGATTGTTAAAGTAGATGCACAAGACTTGAAAGAGATGGTGACATTTGCAGGACAAATGCAATTCTTATTTTTGGTGTTTGTTTTTAATTAACTGTAAGCCTACTTAAGTCAGCAATTAAAAAATAATCATTTAGATATTTGAGCCATCATACTTTCCTGGAAAATATAATACAACTCCAACTAAAATTTTGTTCTTTAGCTGTACAATTTGCAGAACTGCATGTTTTATTTAAAAATTGCACTGATAGAATGAATTAACAATGATTTATTAAGTATTCAAATAACATGAAATAATGGATGTATTTCTTTACTTCAATTTATAGTCTACCAGGCACATTTACACATATGATCTCATTGTTTCTCACAACTATACAGAAAGATAAATGTGTTCAATATTTTTGTTGAGCCTTTAGATCTACTCTCCACCCTTCTTCATCTATTTTTTCCTACCCCAGTAGACTGATATCTGTGGACCATATGAATAGACAGCTTCACACTGGCAACGGATTGGCAGAAGAAGGGAGGGAGAGTGAAGGCAGATTTCTTATTTCCGTGAAGCCCTTTTATGAGGTTAGCAACAGTTGACTAGAATCTGTTTTATAGACCTTCTCTCTTTCCAGGTTCTTCATGCC